GGGGGGGCAGGTGAAGCCGGGCCGTGGGGGTCTCCTGCCCCTCCGTGTCCCTTCGGGGGGGGATGTTGGGTGTTGGTGGGGTCATGCTCTTGGGCACCCAGGGAGTGTGAGCCCTGGCCCCAAGCTTAACCTCTTGGGGGTCTCTCACCCAGGGGACTGTGGTGGGCTTGGGGGATGGTGGTTGCATCAGCCACCCCTGTCCTTCCCTCTGCTGAAGCTCTGGTGGGGGGTGCTGGGTGCCCCAGAGCTGGGGGGTTTGCTGGGTCCCTGCCTGGGGGGCCTGTCTCTCTAGGGGAGCAGCCCATGTGTGTGACAGTGACCTGTGGTGTTGGGGGTCTGGGATGTCAGGGGTCTCCAGAGCACAGGCAACCTCTGCTCCCACCCAGGGCAAAGGGTATGGAGCTGCTGAGAGCTCCGCAGGAGCCATGGAGCCACCTGGAAGGGGCTGTGGTGGGATATAGCCTTGGGATGAGGAGGTGCAGAGCCCCCCTGCTCACCCTGCTGAAGCATTTAGGGCTGGTGGGGAAGGTCGAGGTGGTGGAGGGCAGGCTGGAGACGGGGACACCTGGAGCGGGGACTGCTCAGCTGCTGCCCCGGGTGAGCAGGCAGCTTTTCTGGCTGGAGGAGCTCGTGATGCTGGCCACCATCCAAGCTGGCTCCATGGTGCCCCTCTGGGGTCAGGGCAGTGGCCCATGGTGCTGCTGGCTCAGCTGCCCTGCATGAGGGCTGCTGCCCCGCTGCTGGCACCGAACCCCCTTGGGCTGGGGAAGGGGGCAGCTGTGACGCTGCAGCTGGGGATGTGCTGGTGTGGGTGCGACTTGGGGTAGTGACCCATCCGGCTGCCCCAAGCCTGTGGCAGTGACACCCTGAGCTGCCCTCGGTAGCCACAAAGTCCTGGTTTGGCATGGTGAAAACTCGCAGAGGGGAGAAATACCTGTGCCAGCACCTTCCCCAAAGCCCGGATCTCTGCCTGCTCGGGAGCTGATGTTGTCTCTCTCCTCCCAGCTTGGTGGCGGGACGCTCCTGGGAGTTGGCATCTGGGTCACAGTAGATGGACAGTCGTTCCTGGATATATTTGGGGCACTCTCCTCTAGCGTCCTGCAGGTCGTGAATGTGAGCTACTTCCTCATCGTCATTGGGGCCATCCTGATGGTGATTGGCTTCCTCGGGTGCTGTGGTGCCCAGAAGGAGAGCAAATGTCTCCTCATGATGGTACGGACCGGACTTATCTCTTTACCAAGCCTCGTGTGAGCTGGGTCTCTGGTGGGGGAGGTCTGAGGGATAGATTTCTTTGCGGAGATGTTCTCCTTGAATGTTCCCATGTGTTGGAAGGCTGGGTAGACCTTGGAAAGGCAGTGCTGGAACCAAAGTCTACCCTGGGTAAGGGCAGAAGGAAGCAGAAGCTGGTGCTGGGCAGTGGTCTCTCTTGGAGCATGTCCAGAGAGGTCAGCCCCACGCAGGCGGAGGGTTGGAGAGCCCCAGGGTTGTGCTGCTTCTGCCTTGTAGAAGAGCTGAAGGCAATGAGATGGGGTCTGACCCCTGAGGGGGGATGGTCCTGCTGGCCCTTGGGAAGCGGGTGGGTTCCTGGGGGCACTGTGGACTCTGGCTGTTGCGTTGACCTCTCTCCCCTTGCTGTATCCTAGTTCTTCTCGGTGGTGCTGATCATCTTCATTGCCGAAATCGCTGCTGCCGTGGTGGCTCTGGTCTACACAGGCCTTGTGAGTGGCATATCCAAGTCATGGGCTGGGCTAATCTGGGACCTGTCCTACACCTTGGGAAAATGGGAGACACTGGGGCTGGCAGTGCTGCCCATGGATAGGGAAGCTGAGAGGTGCAGGAGGAAGGGATGCCAGTCTCTGCTGGCACCAGCTACGTGGCCTGGATGGGGTGAGGGTGGTGGGAACAGGGATTCTCGTTGCCCTAAAGAAATGAGGGTTATGGCACAAGCTTTCCCTGCTTCTTTCTTTCAAACCCCTGAGATGGGTACCAGCCTAGGCTTGACACCTCTCCACCCCTGATGGTAGGAACCACACAGGAGAGTAAGCCCCTAATGCTTCACACTGAGCAAACTCAACCTCTTATTAAACACCTGAGAAACCACCTGGGGACAAAGGTGACTTTGCCTCATTAGGCACGGGAGAAGTCAGCCGCAGGGCGAACGTCATTCCTGGCTCCCTCGGTTATGCTGCTTATCAGATGACTCACTGGTCGTAAACGGCCTTGGTGCCATAAGGCACTGGGTGGTGGGGAAGAGGCCAGAGGGACGTGGTGTGATGTCCTCCCGGCCACGCTGGGTCTGGTCCATGTCCTCCCCATGGGCTCAGGCTGGTATGGGGGCTCTCAGCTCAGTGGTGCTCCCCAGGACCTTCTCTGACGGTGTTTCTCTGCCTCTTCCAGGCAGAGACGCTGCTGACGGCTGTGGTGACCCCTCTCCTGAAGGAGAAGTTCGGGGCGGATGAGAGTCTCACACGCATCTGGAACGTCACCATGACCGAGGTGCGCTGAGCTCTGTGGGGCTCAGGCTGGGTGGTGGACACCTTGGTGGGCCAGTGGGATGGGAATGGGGGCACCACCAGAATCCTGGATGTGCTGAGCTGTCACTAACCCCATCAGCTTATCCCGGGTGGCTGGGATCTAGCCATTTGGGATCTAGTGGTCCTGTGGCTGGGGTGAGAGCTGCACATGCTGGAGTGTGGGGCAAAATTCTGGTCCCAAGAAGGTCACTGGGCACCTCCCAGAGCTGGGTTACCCCCTCCATGGGCTGCAGGGTCCAGACCATGTGTGACCCAGGAAGGAAACCTGCAGGATGCTTTCCCCATTCCTTCCTCTCTCTCCCTCGTAGGTCCACTGCTGTGGCCTGAATAACTACACAGACTTCACTGACTCCCCTTGGCATAAGGAAAAGGGAACGTACCCGGAGCCCTGCTGTAAGAACCTGAAGCCCTGCAACAGCACACTCGCCGCACAAAGCGAAGTCAAGGTATGGACGTGCCGCTGGCTCTTGCCTTCTGGCACAGTCTGGTTTGGGGGTGTGCCCTGGCACGGGGAGGGAGACTGGTCCTGTAGCTCCTGCCCCAGCTCTAGGCATGGTGATCCTGTGGGCTTTGAGTCCTGGGGGATGCTGTGGTGGCCCAGACCTTCTCCATGGCCGCGTAGCTCTAGCCTGGAGAACCATACCTCCCTTTCTGGGGGTGTTGTGCCCCAGTGTTTGGGGGGAGGTCACTACCCCTTGCTCATCCTCGCCTGTCTGGTTGCCTCCTGCAGGGTTGTTTTAACCAGATCTTGGAAGACATCAAGACTAACGCGGGTGTGGTGGGGGGCGTAGCAGCCGGCATCGCTGCCTTGGAGGTGAGTGCCTGAGCATCCCTGTGCTGCTGCCTCCCCCTTGTACCTGGAGGGGGATGGTGGGACTGGCCTTGGCGGCCCGTGCAGCCCCATGGACCACCATCTGCCCCAGGGTGGCTACTGAGCCTTCCTCCCTAGGCACACCCAGCCTTCCCTCCTTGCATGCACTGGGGGTGGATGCTACGGGCTGCGACCCAAGCCCACGCTGGGGTGGGACGCTTGGGGCAGGCTGACTCTCCTCTTGCTGCCCACAGATCGCAGCCATGGCAGTTTCCATGTACATCTACTGCAAGTTGGATCAGAAATGACCCTACGAGGCAGGAGGATGATCTGCCCCCCCTCATGCCAGGGTGCGCCTGTGGCGTACCGTGCTCTCGGGGGTCACACCATCGCTCCCCGGGCCTGATGCTGTCCTGTGCACTGTGATTTAGAGCTGTGTTTTGATCTACTGAGCTGGGATCTGTAGAGTTTGTGTATATTTTTGTACTGATGTGGCACACTGAGCCTGTACATAGAGATTTGGGGTGGTTTTTGGCAGGGGGGGAGCTGCTTGGTCCGTTTGGCCGCTGGCAGGGGGAGATAAAGAGGCACAGGGGCCAATCGGGGCTGCTGATCTGGCAGTGGAGCTGGCATGTGCCCCCCTGCATCCCTCCATTGGACTGGTGCTGGTGCCCAGCCAAGGTGTTGTAGGTGGTACCTACACACTCACAGGGGAGGTGTATCTGCCCCTACACCCGTTTTCTGCCAGCCCTGACCCTGTCACTGTGGTGTCCCCCAGCAGAGGCACTGCCTGGTCCCTGCCCTGGCATGAAGACAGCCCTGTTAGGCCCTGGCCATGTGGTGGCTGGGGCTGCCCCCCACCCCCTGTCATTTCATGGCTGAGCCCCTCTCTGTGCTGTAAAGTAAAACAAATAAATTTTTCATCTTGGATATAAATGACTTTCTGGGTCCTGCATCTGAGAACAGCCTGGGGCTGGGGGAGCACAGCAGGGTGGGGTGATGCCTTCCCCCTGTCCTCCCACTTTGAATCCTGGGTTCAGTTTT